GCAATGCAGCTGCCAAGCTCCCTGAGCTTCACAGCTCCATATCATTTCTCAGATGATATGAAAACTTCTCAGGCTGGAAGTATGAGAGAACTCTCTGACTGGGAGCTGTCTTTTAGGGTCATATTTTGGTGTGGGGTGTTCCCTTCTTTTATTTATTTTCTCCCCCTCTCAAACTATTAGGTCCTTTCCTGTTCCATTTGAACAAGTGGTGTGTCACGTGGCGGTGAAGAGATCAACAGAAAGATATATATACTGCAAGGCATTTAGAGCTGCATATGCAAACACAGGGTGGGTAGTTTAGTCCAAGTTTCTCTCCCCTTAACCTATCAGCAGGATTAGCCCCAAAGACCTTGGCCATTCTGCTAACTTTGATTGGCGTTGATGCAATTTGTGATGAGTTTTAGTTGAGTGGCTATATGCCTCCAAGAAGTGCAAGAGTCCCAAGACTTAGCAGCTCATAGAAGCTTTAACTACTGCTATCACCACCTGTTGCCTGCTGGCTAGTAAAGACATTAACTCAAAGCTTCAGCTATATGTATTAATTGCATTTTTAAAGTATTAGTAGTAGGACTCTGCCATGTCTCAACTGACAAACTTTCTCAGTTAACTCATTTCTTAAACTGGACAGAACACATGGCCAGACGTTAAGCCCAAAAGGACTATCTGAGCATTACCTACCCATTTTTTTTTTCAAATGGTTTAGTCATAAGGTATCATTGGAGAAAGAGACTAAGAGCAGCAGCCGTAATAATGTAATACTGAGGTTTCTTCATAAGGCAGCTCTTGTTTAATATTCTTCATTCAGTTGTTACTTTCATGTGATATAAAAGAAATGTTATTAAGTTCCAGTCCTGCCAAGATTCAGAAAGGTGAGTAACCCCACTGACATCACCGAGACTACTAAAGCAGGTAAAGTTATGCATTCAATTAAGTCTTTGCTGGATCAAGGCCTAATTTGTCTTGAAAGCCAAAAGCACTTACTATTATTAGTGACAGCCTTAAGTACCAGTGGTGAACTCAGCACTGTGCCAAACACAGATGGAAACTCCGCCATTAATTAATTTTAGGACAAAGCACAGTATGATGCTTTTGGAGAGAAAGTTATACTTGCCTTCTTCCCAGACACAGGAGGGACTGACATGAATGGCCAGCTCCTTAACACTCCCTTTTGTTTCTCTTTAAAAAGATCTTTAAGTATTTAGCTGAAAAAACCTCCCCATGGCCTGACTGCCATCCCCTCCAGAAGAAAAGGTGGGTCTAATTGAGTCATAGCTACATTGTCAAACTGACACGTGGAATATAAAACTTATGGTAGCACCACTCCTGTGAGATTGCTTGGGCAAGAGTGATGAATGATTGGTCTGCTGAAATCCATAACTACTCTTATGGGGTTTGAAAGGATTAGTGAAAGGGACTGGTAAATGGTCAGACTACTACTCTCTGGCATGCTTGCTTCACAGGATTAGGTTCAAAAGAAGCTTCCAAAAATCATTTTTAATTCCCAACTTCACAACACAATTCTGATATACAAGCCAGATCTTGAAAAGCTGTCCCTCTCAAATCGTTTCATTGACTGCAACAGGCTTGCTTATGTGACACGTAGCCAAAATCAGCCCCCCATGTTTTGAAATCAGAGTACTCCTCCCTACCTGCAAACCAGCAGCAAATAAGCAGTATCTGTTTGCAGCCAAGTAAAATTAAAGATAGAAAAAGAACAGGAGAATATAAAAATTGTGACAGAGGACATGTGTTTTGCTTATTTTATATTCATCTCTCCTACCGTTTGTTCTTTGCCCTGACATTTCACATCTTACGACAACCGGGTGTAATGGTTATCATTCTATATGACTGAATTAACAATATGTATACTATGGTTTCTTATTAGATACCTATCTAGAAAATGGCATCGGATGGAAGACAAGTGCAGAACATTGTTCCTGAGCTTTAAATGCAAATAGATAATGTGTCCTTACTGTATTGTCACACATTTCAGGGCGGGGAAGGGAGTTGCAGCGGGTACCCATCCCAGATTCCAGCCACACGGCAAACAAGACATGCCAGGGAATGGCATGAATTTATTTGCAGAAGGCAGCAGGCAGGCAGCATGGCACAGAGACAAGCTTTGGGGTGCTCAGGAGATAGTGGAGGCTTTCTTTCATTCACCAAAGTTGATTTTGCAACTCCTTCTCATATAAGTGTCTACCCCTGCTGATTTTTTCATGTGAATAAAGATGACTATCATGAAAGGAAGGAGTGCAGCATTGCTGCTATAGCATAACAACTGAAGTGAATCATTTTCCCAAGCCATTCAGGACTTATCGCTTCTTTGAAAGAACAGGAGAGAGACTAACAAGGCAGACTGCTGTTTTATTCGTGGCAATTTTGACCACATCCAGACAAGGCTGCCATTGCAAGACTTGGCCGCCGAGGGCGTGTGTGAATGTTCACATTTGGTCAATTCACCAAGATCAGAGGCAGCATTAATAGCCCAGCTCTGCATCGTGACGGATGAAAAATGTTGCACAACAGTGCTCCCTCGAGGCTGGGACCATCAAATATTGAATGTGCAACTGGAGCCCAACCAGACACACTGCAGAATAAACACCGACACCAGCCACGGGGCCCTAGAGCAATTACAGAAACACTAAGATAAATACTCTTAATTAGATTCTGTAATATGGGGCCTCTATATGGGGAATCTCACTTCACATCAGTTCACACTTACCAGAAAATAGCGGTGCTTATCGAACAGGCCACTTTGCCTTTAGCTGGAAGAGCAAATTATATAGGTGGAATCTGCTTTGTTTCATTGCCCACTCCCAATGTACACGCATCTAGAGGTCCATTATCTGCTCACTGATCTAAGCAGGTTATGTATGTAGCTACCATTAATAGTAATGAGAGTTACTCTTGTTAATCTCCTGTGCATTTGTAGCAGGCTAATAGCCTGCTTTTTAAGCATCCAAGCCAGTGCTGGAGTCGTACGGAAAATGAGCAGCATATTGTCTCTGGGATTCATATGTAAATGTTAGAAGACTGCTCTGAGGTGTCTAAAGCCAGTGATTAAATTAAAAAAAACCCTAGTAATGGCATAAATGTGCTCTCAGCATTTGCTTCCAACATGTATAAAACAGACCACGTGGCTTTATATTGTATCATGAGATAGGCCACCCCTTTGAGAGTATTTTTTTTTTAATAACAATTCATGGAAATCACCCTCTGATCTTAAATGGAATAAGGTTTGTGGTTTCAGACTATTCCCTACGGATCGAATTTACCAGGGAAACCATCTTGCAACCCTGGCGAACTGCACATCATTGTCCCTCCGAGTGCAGCGAGCGAGAATCCCTGGTTTGGGTCTGTCATTTGGCACGGTTCAGCCGCATTATTGGTGATCTCCGGCCAGGAGATATCCAGGACTGGAGACGTCTAAGAGACACGTTTCATTTTAGCTCAGAGCTGGATTAGCTGAAGACGGCAGGCAGAAGGCAGGTCAGGATGGCACCTTGGAGCAGCGAGTCTCAACCAAGGTGCTACAGCCCCCTGGGGTGCCGGGAGATCCTTTCAAGGGTGCCGCGGGGTGCCACACGATGCTAGCCCTGTTAGATTTCCAGACACGAGTCTCAGATAAACCCAGAGATTTCACATAGGAATCCACAGGCGCGATTCACCAGTTAACTGCGCGACCGATACTTCAGTCTAAACTCATTGCACGATTTCCAAGTGAATTGCATAATCCATGTACGAGTAAGCCGGGGCTTGTGGCATGTTGTGACCCCTCGTTCTTGTCTGGCAAGAGACCGCAGATGAAAGCTGGATAGAAACCAGCTTGAAAGTTGTTACCCATTTTCAAGCACTAACTTTATAGCTGGTGGGATCTTTTTGTAGCTGGACAGCCATTCTCGTTATTTTGCATATGCGGACGACTGAAATTTATGGCAGGATTCAGCAGCTCGCTGTGGGATTGATCGGGTGCCGTCGGTCTCAGTTTATTGCGCGATTCGCCTGTGACTTGTGTAATATATGTAACGTGCGGCAGGGCCGGTTTCCTGCGGCGACGACCCCTCGTTCTTGCCTGGCAAGGGATGGACCGCGACTCGCGCCCTGCGGCCACGGCCCCTTTGCCAGCCCCCCCGGTGCTGCGGCTCGGCTGGATCCGACCCCGCGTTTCTGTTCCCAACGGAAACAAGAGAAAACCGTGTATTTTCCAGAAAAAGGTGTGTCCCCCCCCACCCCCCCAAAAAGTTTTTTTTCCCTAGAAATAAAGGTGTTAAGGTGTTTTTTCCCCCAGAAAAAGGTGCTTCCCCCCACAGAATAAAAGGATTTTCCTCCCCCTAAAAATAAAGGTGTTAAGGTGGTTTCCCCCACTCCCGAAAAAAGGTGTTCCTCAAGGGAAAAAAAAGTATTTTTTCCCCACAAAAAATGTGTTGTTTTTTTCCCCCCGTCCCTAAGAAAAAAGGTGTTTTTTCCCCCAGAAAAAAGGTGGGTTTTTTTCCATAAAAATAAAGGTGTTAAAGTGTCCCCCCCCAAAGAGGTGGTTTTCCCCCTCTTGAAAAAAAAGGTGTCTTCCCAGGAGATTAAAAAAAAGAGTATTTTTTTCCCCATGAAAAAAGTGTTTTTTTTTTCCCCCGTTCCTAAGAAAAAAAGGTGTTTTTCCCCCCAGAAAAAAGAGTTTTTTCCGTCAAAATAAAGGTGTTAAAGTGTCTCCCCCCCCGAAAAAGGTGGATTCCTCCCCTTGAAAAAAAGGTGTCTTCTCAGGAGATTAAAAAAAAAAGAGTATATTTTCCCCCGGGGGAAAAAAAAAACCTATTTCACCCTCCTCCAAAAGGGTGTTTTATTTCCCCTCCAGAAAAAAGGTGTCCCCCCCCCCCAAAAAAGAAATGAAGGTGTTCCGGTGGTTTTTCCCCACGAAAGAGGGGAGAGCAGTGTTGAGCTGCTGGGGGGGGCGGACCCGCAGGGGTTAACGCCGCGGCGTGACGCGACCGGAAGTGCAACGTCGGCGGGCCTCCGCCCCGCACAGGCACAGGTGAGGGGCTGGGCCCGATCTTGACCTTGGCCTTGGTCCTTCCTGGTCCTGGTCTTGGTCTTGGTGGTGGGGCTGGGCCAGGGCCCGGGCCTGGTGGTTGACCTGGTGCTGGTCCTGGGCCTGGTCCTAGTGGTTGACCTGGTGCTGGTGCTGGTCTTGATCTGGGTGCTGTCAGTGGTGGCAGATACAGGACCAGGAGCTTGATGCCACATCAGAGGTTCATCCTCCTACTGTCACCCTCTTTAAAAGATAATTGTACCTCTTTTGCAGTGGTTTTTTTTTTTGCTTTTGGACAAAGATACGTGAGTAAAGCAGTAGACACGCGGTCTTCAAGGCTGCTGGCCTTGTGGTCTGTGGAATGATAACTTCTCAGGAAACGCATTGACTCCCTGGTTTGGCAGCGCCTGCTTGGTGCATAAAAGTGTGTGCGCTACTCAAGGCAGACAAGGTTCCTTGGGTGAATTTGATATCTTTTATTAGACCAACCCGAATGGTTGGAGAATAGTTATTAAGCGAGCTTTTGGGTTCAAAAACCCTTCGTGATACTCAAAGAATTCATCGGCTGAACGTCGGTTTTGCTGCCAAACAGCAGCTGGAGCGTTTTGACCGAGCTGTTTTGGAGGTTTACTCGTAATCCTATAGCCACTACGATGAAAGTGCCAGGAGCCCAACTCTCACCATAATTAGACTTTTTTTGCCAGTTGCACATCTGCTTTCCTGAAGGTGCCTGATCTCGGTATAAAATTGGAAACTGTTCATGTGACCACGGTAGAAGTTTTGCATTTTCTCCACCTGTATCTTAGAGCAGGGCGTGGCCAACCCATGGCACGAGTAACGTGGCAGATTGGGGACAGCGTGGGGAACAGCAGCAGATTGGGCAGATGGAAAGGATCGGCGTGGGGCCCAATTTGTGGTACACCAATCAAAAGGGCTGGCCTCCACTTCTCATCCTATTTCTGACTGTTCAAAAAGGAAATAGCTTGTGAAGGAAACGTGTAGTGGAGCCAACTAGTTTTATTGCAGTGAGCAGATCCTACGACTGAATAGTAATTGTGTGGAGAACAGACTAGGGACTAGACGAGTTGGAAAAAATGACTTGGTCATGACGGTGTGAGCCAAGGGCCAGGGTTTTCTGAGTTGTAAACCTCATTCTGCCTGACTTCAGCCCTAGGTAGTTCCCTGTAAACCTTATATACTTGCCTACCTGCAGTGCAGCTTGTGACTTTTATAGCACCTTATATTTGCTGTTTTCATCAGAGTCTTAAGTGCCCCAGTGTGTTTCTTGGTGACATCCTTCATCCACATTGTCTGAATAGGACTTAGAAGGTTTTTCTGTGTAAGACTCCTCTGTATTACCAGCTAAATACAGTGCTATGAGGAACAGAGGGGAGCTTCAGAGCCCAACTTTCTTTTCTCATTTTCCTCCTGCTTCAAGCGTCCCTGGAAGCACAGCTGCTGAGTCCTAGCACTGAGTGAGAGAAGACCAATGAAGTGAAGTGTGTAGAGCAGGGGAATGGACTTTCTCTTGCCTTAACCAGTGCAGTGGTGTGCTAAGGGGATTTATTTCAGGCTGCTGGCACGGATCTGAAGTTGGCTCCTCATTCCCAGTTCAACCTGGTCAGAGGACAAGACCCTTCCTTAGTAGGACATTGGTGCTGATTAGAGATGGTCCGAAACTGTTATGAAAGTTTTGGTTGTTGAAACTGCAACTTGATTGCGTGTCGAACCATTTTGGGGGAAGGTTTCTCAAGTCTAGAATGGATTTTGCGGGGACTGGCTGGGGAGACCCACCCAGAATAACCCAGTAATTAGGACACGTTTCTGATGTGGGAAAAGTAGGCTCAATTCTCTGTTCTCCCTCACTTGAACGCAGGTTTCCGGCATCACATATGAGCAGCCTAACCCCCGGGCTCCTAGTTATTCTGCACTGGCCTCTGAGAAAATATCGAGACATCCCCATTGCATTCCACTGGGTACCTGGGAAGCTGTTGATCTCTTGCCAAGCAGCCTTTAAGAGTGGAGTCCACTTTTCTGTCCATCTTTTGGATGAAAGCCTGCACTAGCAGTTATGGCATATTCCACTTGCATACATCCCACATAATTTGCACAGAGACCATCCCAATTTGTTTCCTTTTGCTTGCATTATAACGAACATTGGTTAAATGCATCGCCTTGTTGCATCCACTGCTTACTTTGTAATTTCTTTGTACTGAGGGTACCTGCATGTTAACTATAACTATTTGTACTTCCTATAGCTGAAGAAGCTGAGAAGGGGCTGCACTTAAAAACCTTGAAAATGGTCGGAGCTAGTCAGTTTTGGGGCTTCTCTTATTTTTTAAGGCATCAGGTAGCAGCCCCAAAACTACCGGCTTCCATCATTTTCGAGATGCAGGAGGTCTTTGTGATGTCTTTTATTGCACCAATGGTATAGCTAGGTGAGAGATTGGGTGAGCTTTTGGGCATAAAGCTACCTACTGAAGGTTATGTTATGCCCAAAAGCTTGTTCAGTATCACCCCCAAATATACTGTTGGCCCAGTAAAAGGCATTACAAAGTACCCTTGACTCTTGTGTGTTTTCTGGGCATGGGCATTAATGCTGGGAGGGCAAAATCCTATCACTTTCTGGTGCTGTTGACTATAGAAACTGGCCTGCCAGTCTGCCATGGTTAAAGCTAGTCACCTAGCTTGGGGGTTGAACTTTGCCCTTGCCCACTTTTGCCTTTTGATTCATACAAGCTTTTCGTCTTTGACCATGATTTAGATTTTGTGCGTAGCAGATTACATATAAAATCTACATCTGCCCACATGGATACAGCAAGTTATGTAAGAGAAACAAGGCCCTCGTTGGAGAAACAGTGAAGTTAATCAGACAGTGGATTAGTTATAAGTTTTCATTTCTTAAAAGATTTAAAAGCTGCTTTTAACCTGATTAATAGCTCAAAAATCCAATACATTTTAAATTTGAGGCAGGACGCCTGAAATCTTTTGCTTCATCGAGCATTAATTACAAGGTAACCTAGTAGTGCCTACAGTTTTATATGAGAAAGTCTGTCCTTGGGGGGCTGCCCTTTAGCCCAGAGCAGAACAGCCGATTTTACTTTTTTATTTCATAGATATTTTGATATATCAATCATAATATTAACACATGGTAGATGACAAGTGAAAGTTTTTTAAAAACAGGAGATTCGTTCAGTACAGTTTGGAGGACAAACAGCATTTCGCAAATGGTGAATTAAAAACAGTGGGTAATTCTGATTGAGGATGAAAAGCGGGCAGTTCTACAGAGAAATAAATAACTTCTGCTTTCAACAGTAATAATGTGTAGCAGCAGTTTTGTACTTCTTCCTGAATTATGTTGACATAGCTGATGGCCAGACATCAGCCTTTGGCCTTGCACTGTTTTGCTGTAGTGCTGCATGTCATTGTTTGTAATTCATAGGGAAGGTGCTCCAATAAATTTGTGTGGTAGTGATTATATAAATTAAATCCTTAAAGGAATTTTTATTAAGGAAAAACAGTTTACAGGCTAGAAATTGGTTGGACTTTCTCCAAGTGAGAATGTCTGCATGCGTGCTTTTCAAAGGAGGGTAGAGGGCATGGTGCTTAGCACTTCTATAATCGCTTGCATCTTAAAAGTGCTGTACAAACCTCGACTCGCAAGGGAGTTGGGAAGAGTTAAGAGTGGCTGCTTTCTCAATGCATAGATATAACAGCTGTCTGCACTGTGTCAAAGGTACACGGTGAGCAAGCGGCTGAGACGTGATTAAAACTGTATGGACTGCATACAGAATTTCTTTCCAGATGTATATCTTGATATAAAAAATGTAAGTTAGCAGAAAGTGCATGGAGCAGTTTTTCCTGACTCTTGCAAATTGCCAGCTGAACAGTCCAGTCCTGCTTAATGCTGAGGTTGAAGTGTGTTTCACATTATATATTCTGACCATTGCACTTTTCTTCAAATTTAATTTTAAAGGGAAACTGAGGTTTTAAAAGGCAGCATTTATGTTTAAATAAAAATCAAGTTCCATATAAGAGACCCTTGAAATTGTCCTCCCAGTACTTCTTAATTGAACTTTTATCAGTGGTTCTGCTTCTTGGCTTCTTTCCTTGGTACCATTTGGGCAGTTGCATGCAATTTTGCTGTACCCTGGATGTTGATTAAGGCCCTTCCCAGTGATGGGTGTAGATTGGTTTGAGGGTACATCTATCACCGTCAGCAGTGCTTTGGACCCATCTTGGGTGATGTGTGTAGTTTTATTGTAAGTATACCTGTTAATACAAAACTCTGGAAGAGCATGCCTGTAGATCCCCCGCAAGCTGTGGCTTAGTGACTGCATGTCCAGTGTATGAAGTGGGACTACATTAAATGCACAAAGTAAGGAAAACACTCCCTTTTTTCCATTTCATGTAATGTTAATCGTGGGTATTTTTTGTAATGAAAAACAATAATAGCCTGTTCTTCAGATTGTTGAGTGACTTGCCCCTTCCCATCTCCCCCCCACAATTAACTCTGGCTTTTGAGCTTCAGACTTCAAGTTCCTTATTGCAGTGTTACAATCTGTATCTTGTGCACCACTGAGCATGCTATCAGCATTCGAACAATAATTTGATTTAAAACGTATTAACGCTGTTCTTTCTCCCCTCTTGTAGAATCATGGCAAGTCCAAGAACAAGGAAAGTTTTGAAGGAAGTCAGGGCACAGGATGAAAATAATGTAAGACGTTCTTTGTATTTTGCTGGAAGTAGTTAGTTAATTATACAGCAATCGCTGTCTTGGTGTACTCCGGAGAGCTGATTTCAGCTGGTAGAGCTATTGTGTTCATGGCGCTAGTATAGCTTGCAAAGATTAAACGACAAACTTGGGCATCTATTTAAGTGTTTCATTAAATCATATTATAATACAAGATTGATAAATGATTGTGCATTGGGCGTAAGTCCTTTGAGAGGTTCTGGTTATACAGTAAAACATGAGTGATGATTACTTAGCCTAACACACACAGATAATTTTTTGTGGTATTTTTGGCATGCTTAAAGTATTTGGGGTTTTTGCTTTAAATAAGACAGACTTATCTTGTCAGTATGCAGGGTCCCCAGTCTGTGAGGCTGTGGTCAGCAAAGGGAATCTATGATTCAAAACTTTTTCATGATTCACACCAATGTGACCTGATTTTTAATTACGTCCAAAAATTCTTGTTTCTAGAATCTGAAGTTCTGCTGTATGGCTTTGAATTGAGCGAGATTTCCAGAAGGGCCATTGTTTAGCATTTTTGGTCTTACTGGAAACTTCTTTGCATCATTAAATTGGTTCTATTTATTTATTTATTTATTTATTTTTTTTTTTGAAGATAGAACCAGGGAACTTTTTGCATTTTGGCACCCATCTTGCTGGGGTCATCAGATCCCAGCAGTCTTTCCTGCCCAAGTGCAGTGGGGCTGGACCTGATGATCTGTAAGGTCCCTTCCAGCCCCTAACAACTATGAAACTATGGCATTGCTCTGGGTGTCTCTGAAAAACTTCCTATGTACATCGGCGATAAAACCATACTAGCTACAAGTATGTTTGTGGTTGGTTGTCGGACAGTCAACTTGCAAGACTTCAGAAGTGCTCCAAACTCTTAAGACAGAGCATGGAGATGCAATAAAGCTAAACTTAGTTTAGTTAAACCTGCATGGTCATCTTTTTGTGTGTGTGTTGTTCATTAATTTTTTTCCCATGCCCTTCATTTATAATGAAGATATCTTTCACAGTATAGCAAATGAAACCACAGTTTAGCTTTATATTGTTTTAATCTGAGTTGGGGAAGTTAACAAAAATTGTTCTTCCTGTCAAATACAACCCCTGTAGGTGTTTTCTATGTGGATATTTAAGGGAGCTAAAATATATTCAGTTGTCTTGAAACACTGAGAGCTCTTAACTCTGATTTGTTTTTGCTCTGGGTAAACTTGGTGGGTTTTTTAGCTGTAACCTGAAAGCTTATTCAAAGGGAACAATGACAGAATTAAGTATAGTTGGCTTCCTTTTTCAGGTCTGTTTTGAGTGTGGTGCATTTAACCCCCAATGGGTGAGCGTGACCTACGGGATATGGATCTGTCTGGAGTGCTCAGGAAAACACAGAGGCTTGGGAGTTCATCTCAGGTCAGTCTTTGGTACAGACACAGAATAGAGCGCTTGTGGGTTTTTTTTTCTTTTCTGGAGAGAGGGGAAAAAATTGGAAGTCATACTACATTCAGTGCATTTATGTAGTGTTATAAGCATACACAATATATTATTGGACCTCTTCTAAAGTTTATTGGAAGTTTTGCCTTATGCAGGAAATGCTTTGCATTCTTCTAACATGCAGTAAGCTCAGGAGTCCTAGAATAAGATGCAGAACCTGCCCTGGAGGTTTAGGATTTATACAGAAAGGGAAAACTGGGTTAATTGTTCAGGTAGGAAAGGGAAATGAAGAGTTCAGCAGTAAGACCACCAACAAGAAAGACCTGCAGGAGTAGTTTTTAAAGGATGATTTAAAATTTAGTGGGGAATAAAGATTTCGCTAATGAATAACATGAAGGAACTTTTCCAAGCTCAGCGTGGAATACTAAAAGAAAGGGAGGTAGGAGGGAGGGTAAGGAGAAAGAGAAAAAATAGAAGGAAATGAGGTGGGGTGGATTTTCTTGGACCTCGACGAGCATGTGATCTCATATACTCTTTGATTGAGCTTTAACACATTCACAATAGGACTGTCTAGTTTTTCCTTGTGGATTAATGAGCAGCAACAAGAATTTATGGCCCAAAGGAAAGCTGAGGGGAAACTAACCCAGTCATAAATGCCATGAAATGAGGTCACTTGAGATTTTACAATGTAGACTGCTTAAAACAGGTACTGGTTCCCCCTAAATGGGACTGATGGGAATGAGAGTTAGAGGTGTTAAGAATTATCTAAGCAGCATTATGAACAAAAAGGAGTGTAGGAAAGTCTAGTCTTTTCACAGCTTGGGGAAAATTTGGGAAACACTGTCAAGTGATGGCACAGGCCCTTCCTAACGTTGGCTTGAGAAGCCAACCTATTGTTTCAGGTTTTTAGACTGTCTGTGCCCTTTTATGTATGACCTATAATGGGTACGTGTGGGTTGTTTGACTCCTTCCTATGCTGTATGAAGGAAGATCACTACAGTAAAGCAGTTTGGAGAATTGATATATTGATACAATATATTGCTGAAGTGCATCTGCTGTGCGTGGCTTTTCTAAAGGCTTAACTTTTGATGTAGCTACCAGTAAGGTATTCTGATTGTGTCATTTTATGTTCTAATCCTATGGCTGAAGTTTATAAAAATGTGAGGCATTTCTTATTCTGGTCTCCAGTTTTGTGCGCTCAGTCACCATGGACAAATGGAAGGATATTGAGCTGGAAAAGATGAAGGTTGGTGGCAATAGCAAGTTTCGAGAGTTCCTGGAGTCTCAGGATGATTATGATCCCTGCTGGTCGATGCCAGAGAAATACAACAGCAAAGCTGCAGCTCTTTTTAGAGATAAGGTAAATCTAGATGCACAACTTGTGCATTCCTAACCCTTCCTATTTGTGGATCTTGGAACAGTCCAAAATAGTTGCAAATAACTTTCGGACTTCTCTTTGAAAGCCTGCTGCAATTCTTGAGAGAGTCTAGGCTCAGACTTCCTATACCTAAATCTTCAAATGGCTTTTCATTTAGATTTTGTTTGAAGTCTTTGTTTTGTTTGGCCAAATTGGGCCAGATTGTTGCTGGTGTAATTTGTTGTAGTTCAGCTGATATCACTGGAGCTATGCAGTGATATACCAGCTGAGGCTCTACCTGTTACCTTTGAAGTATTGTTTTATGCAAAAGAGCCAAATTGTTAGCAGATTTCTTTGCTGTCTACAGAATGGTACAGTCATCTGTCACAAAAGCATAAGAAGTAGTAAAATCCATTCCTGTGATGGAAGTATCATTCCTGTAGGCCTGCCAGTTCCAAAAGTAAAATAAAAGTCCTTGTCTCCAAATGCATTTGAAGTTGCACTGGTTTGAACATTTGAAACTTATTTGAAAATTAGCACCTTACCTGTCCTTATTATTTTTTCTGCTCCCTGTAGGTAGCTACTTTAGCTGAGGGCAAAGACTGGTCTCTTGAAACTTCTTCTGCTCAAAACTGGGCTCCTCCTCAACCCAAGATGTCTCTGACTTCAAGTCATCGGTATGTTTTTCTAGTTAGCTAATGCAGTTGTGATGGCAGCAGCCTGAAGCGATGGCAGTTGAATCTCCCCTGTTTTCTGCTGGCAAGTCTTTGATTTTACCAGCAGCACTGCTGCTAATTTAAGAAATTTAAGTTAGCAAGACATGCATTGCTGTAATCAGTCACTCTCACTTCCTCCTTATTCTCACGTCTTCTCGGTGCGTTCTAGCCTAGTAGTAGAGGGCCTGGATTTCAGTAGGAAGGTACCTGTACCAGCGATGTTATTAAGATCATACAGAACATTTGGAAACTTAGCAGTGACACTTCTTAAACCATATTTTCCTTTTAGAGAAGATAGCCACCTGAGTTATGAATTCTTTCACCCTAATACCTTGTTAATTTAAACAGCCAGAAGGTCAGCAAACTCGCTTAGAAAAAAGAGATTGCATGCATATGCTCCTTGGATGTGCCACCCTATTGGGTTTCTAGTGATGATAGGTAGGTCCCTGTTTTTCATTGGATTCTTGAGACTATAGTAGAGGCAGCTGACACCTACTTCTGCAGATTGCCTGATGGTTATTGGCCATAAAGAGCCTGGATGTCTCTATGAGCAGCTAGAGAAAAGGAGACCAAGTAGAATATGACTGGCAGTCCTTCATGGATACCATCAAGTAAGCAATTGATGCAGTGTAGCAAGAAGCACCTGAAAGGCCAGTGTTTGGGGACTGTTATGATTGTTCTGAGGGCCAAAAGAACTGGTGCCCTGAAGATTTCTGCATCTGATATTGCCACCCCAATGGATATATAATTTGGCAAACTACAGCACTGTGCCAGTTGAGGTAGTGGCTCATGGTTCATTCCATTTCAGTTTTTAAATTCTGTTTTTGCAGTTCTGCTGGCCAGTCCCAGAATGCAACCGCCTCTTCTGACAAAGCCTTTGAAGATTGGTTGAATGATGATGTTGGCTCCTATCAAGGGTAAAGTCATTTGATTCTCAAGTAATATATTTTAAACCAGATACTTTTATATAACCCCTTTTGTATCCTGTCCTTTGTGTATAAACTAAGCTAGAGCATTATTACGGTTAATCCATTTTGTCATATCAGAGTTGGTCGCCTTCTTACTAGAGATCACATATTAACACTTTTCTTTAGAGGGGATTAGAAAGAGGATGGAAATGGCCTTTTTAATGGCTATCAAGGACATGTTTGTGCACTGAGGCTTGAGAGTTAAATATAGACAGTGGGCTTAAAGGGGGGATTATTCCCTTTTTGCCATAGTAGCTTCTTGATCTATAAAGCTGTGGAGTTCGCAGTGGGCTAGAATATGAGCATGTTATGTGGAACGTGGATGTTTTATAAGGCTAGAGTTGGGTTCTCCAGATTTTATGTACCGCTAGCTCTGTTAAGAGTTTCTTAAGATTTGTGATCCAGCTGACCTATTATACCTCTGGTGAAGATTTATTAAGGCAATATAGCTTTCAAGGAGGCTCTTTGCTGTGGCGGACTTTCAGTAACGTCACATAATTGTGTAGTGGTGGTGCTACATGTTCAGATTAAAGTGCGTTAGAGCCCACACGGCCAATGCATCTGCTCTAGCCCAGTTCTTATAGGTGTATGAAAATGGTTAAAAACAAACAAAAGAAACAAAAGCCTCTTTATATCTTATATTTTGTATGTTTAATACATTTTAATGAATGGACACTCACACTATTTACAAATCTGATCTGCTTTTTTTTTTTTTTTCCCTTCATGTGGTAGAGGCCAAGAGAATCGCTACGTGGGTTTTGGGAACACGGTCACCCCTCCAAAAAAGGACGATGACTTCCTCAATAATGCCATGTCCTCACTGTACTCGGTAAGGAGATGCTTTCTTTGCGGTCACTGTGACTTGTAACAGCATATTCTTCTGTCTGTCTCCAGATTATGGGAATATAAATAATGAAGGGGAAAACTTGCATCTGTGCATTGCACACTTCCCACTATAATTAGCATGTGGGGAATATTGCTTATTTCTGCTCTGCCACATAAGACTCACCTCAAAGTAATCTACTCAGATCTGACTGTCGCACTTGCAGTGTTAGTTGAAAGGAAGGAGACAGTACTAATGGATGTCATTATATATTCACTTTGAGGTTCTTTGCTGACAGCCATTACTGATTATGTGATCTCATTGAAGCTAGTGGTAAAATGCCCTCTTGTGACCACACGCAATCTCTGCAGGTTAAATGGTTTTTAATAGAAGTAAAGCTTATTACCTTCATAAATTATCACCTTGTTGGGGAAGAGCGCTTTCCTTTTAGCGGGTGTTAAAAACGAATATACACAGGAGGCTTTTTCCCTGTCATTGCACATCAAGAGGACCATTTGCTGTCGAATTGATGATAAGCCATTCAGCCTGTTCCATAAGAAAGCCAGAATTTTCAATTTGAGCCTATATTTAACATCACACTCTCCAGAAACTATCACCTTTCCATTGTCATGTCAGTGCCATCTATGTCAATACGTTTACCTGCAAGAAATAAAGACAAGCCAAGGCTGCTTAATTAGGAGGCTTCAGTGGTGTGGGTCAGTTAAAGAGTATAGTTTTAACAAGACTGCTTTAAAGAAAAGTCTCTTCATCTCCATAAGTAAACTAGCACAATTAAGTGGACAGGGTAGCAAGCAAGACATTCTGATCTTTTTTATTTTTTATTTTATTTTTTTTATATAAGCAGCCTTCACTCAAGGATATATTCAAGCCATTATGCCCCTGGAATATCAGTGCTCTAAAAATACCATCCCAGCAGTCTTTTCTGCCCAAGTGGAGGGGGGCTGGACCTGATGGTAAGGTCCCTTCCAGCCCCTAACAACTATGAAACTATATGGGAGGATGGTAGCAGTGCATTTTGTTAACATACTTTGAATTTGGCATTAAAGTGGTTAAATGGTGCTGCTGCTGCTGCATAACTTGACAATTTTATGTGAAGGTGACCTGCAAAGGAAAAGAAACTGGCAAAGCCCCTTGTTTCTTTATAATGTTTATAAAGAAGGCCCAGAAGAATGTTAAAGACATTTTTTCTGGGGGTTTTTACATTAGAAATTCAGGTCTTGCCTGCCTTGTTTTTCTTGGAAGACTCTGGATGACTGGGTAACTAATGGGAACTGAAAGCTGAACAATTGAGAGGAAGAGTGTTTATAATGTGTCCTCTCCTCCTCCTTTTTGCTTAGCTCCTTATTAGATGTGACACAAAATTGGAAAGAAAAATGTTTTTTTTGCAGATTCAGTACCCTATTACTTTAATTAAGGTCTGATAGAGTGCATAATTGAGTTTCTGGATCCTCCAAGAAAACCTCTAAGAAAAAAGGCAACAAACAAAAGCTTGTATTTCTGGGGCTAAAAAGGAAAAAAAAAAAAAAAAGTTATTTCAGGCTTTCTCATAAACAGGCAGATAAAATCAATAACTTATTTGTATTTGCCTCTTCAGTCCTTTTTTGTTTGGATGTATAGCTCTTGGCTTTAGCTTTTTCCAGGCTTATGTCAGAGTACACTCTGCCTTTTCTTTTTTCACTCATAATACACAGAAAGTAGCCTGGAAGATACCTGTATTTATTTGGGCTCTACTACCATTTTGCAGCCTCTTGCTATTATTGTGAAAATATATTTTGTTTCTACAGCGAGAACTTCATAAAACTCTGTTTTTCATTAGAATAACTCATGCAGCTCAGGGCTGTTCAGCCTGCAATAGTCATAATTGTGATTTGTGCAGAAATCCAAAAGGAAAACAAGGGAAATTCATCATCGCAGTATTTTTATTGTTCAGTAGGACTTTGCTACAAACCTGTCTCAATCAGTAGGCATTTCCCATAGCTACAGGACAAGATATACTATTTAATATATTGCATTAATTTAACTAAGCAATAGTAGAACAAAACTTGTTCTTTTTTTTTTTTTTTTTTTTTTAAGGGATGGAGTAGCTTTACAACTGGAGCAAGCAAGATTGCCACAGCAGCTAAAGAGGGTGTAAGTACATATAAGCAGTTACTTCTGTCTGATTTTTGCAGGGTAAAAGGGGTTCTGTTAACTTGATTAGGCCTCTTATGGATTTATCTTTATATAATTAAAGGAAGATTAAGATAGTCTCCATCCCCAACCTCTCTTCTCCCCTCATCCCCTCTTTCCTCTGCCTCCCCCTTCTTCTGTGTTGTTCTTTCTTTTGCAGCAGGTAGGGAGGGCTTGTAATAGTTTTCCTTCAAGATCATGGGGAAGAACCAGTGGATATTTTTAGGGTTTTTTTTTCATATTTCAGCATTACTAATGAAGAAAAAGTGAAATGTTCTTGTAATTTGTGGACTGACAGACAGGTGGTTTGGAGCTAAAAATATCATAAGACATTTGCTCTATCCTGGGGAATCTCTTCCCCTCCTTGACGTGCCCAAGTAATTCTCACTAATGCTAAGGATTAACTCTGGCACTCTGCTTCTTGTTGACCTTGTACGCAGCTGCCTGAATTAAAGGGTAGAGCCCTTGTCATTCTGTATTTCAAGTCCACCTTTCAGACATTGTAGTCTCATCTTCCCTTGCCTACTACAGGAGGCATTGAAGAAGGGTCTAAATGCTTATCCTTTATTTGGTACTTCATGAACCCTGGGATTTCTATATTCCCACTTTACAGCTGAGTGCCTCAACTTTTCAAAATTGTTATGTGGTCATTGAATGGCAACCACTGTCAGAGCGAGGCTTTTTCAGTCCCATTTACAACTGAGGAATGGACAAAGTGGTTTGTCCTTAAAAATGTGGAGATAATGTTCTGGGAGACAAGGTGTGAAATGCTGGCCGTAATGAAGTCAATAGGAAAATTCCCATTGATTTCAAGTGGGGTCAGGATTTTACCCAGCATGTCTTAATATGCCTGTTGATTAGGACTAATTTTAAATGATTGATATGTTTGCTTCCATTTTACAGGCAACCAGATTTGGATCTCAAGCAAGTCAAAAGGTGATTGTAATATTTAGCTCTGTGTCGTGATTACAGTTAATGGGCTTTATTTGTAATCTCCATGAATTTTAGTACAAGATGTCTTGGATCTGGTCCCTATGAAACCGCAGTGTGTATCCTCAGTGCAACCTTTTTTTTATCTGAATAATCATTCCAGGATCTTGCCTGGAGTTGGGGAAGAAACACCTAGATACTAGGTTCAGCTTCTACAGGGGTGGTGATGATGCTCTCCTATTTTCACACTGAAGGCAAATGATCCATGGTGCATATAAATCCATGCATATAAACAACAGATATACTCAACTGCCACTGAAGTTAAACAGCTACATGAATTAGTGGCTTTCCTCCATAAAATGTGCCTGTGACATTTAAGTTTCATAAAAACAATGGGATTTCTCTGAAGTAGCATGCTTCTCTAAGTAGACATTTTAATAGAATGCACATGCTCATTCCATTGAATGAACCGGAAAAGGTAAACTGTTTGAATTTAGTTGTTGAATTATCTGCTTGCACATAAGGAGGTTAGCAATTCCAAATATACAGATGTTCTTGTTTAATTCAAAGATTAAGGCAGAGTTGGTCAGATCAGAGTGGCACGCAGCCCTGACAAAAGCATGAGCTGTTTGCTTTAGAAGAGTTGAAAAATCCAAGAGAGAGAATAAAAATCTCTGAAAGGAAGCTGAGTCTATCTTCCAAAGCCTGAATGTTACATTTAGTATGACAGAGAGGTGATGTATATTTTAATGTATGATACAGGAGAGACTTGCTTTTGAACTGTGGTTGCATGTAGGACATTAGCCTAAAATGCACAGAATCCTCCAGTTCATATTAGGGCTAAGGACACCAGGAGGCAGTTTGGTGTTCAAAAGGGAGTTGTAGACACTAGGTTGTCACTGTTGCACATTACAGAAGTTATACATGTATTGAAGGATTAAGAAAAATGTCACTTGGCAGGACTTCAAGGCTGTTAACTAATACCCAGGTTGAAGATGCTTGCTTGGCTTGAATGCAGGAATTTTGATGTAATACTGGTCTCCCTCTACCAAACCATCCAGCAGAAATTGATTTTCCCTTCAGAATTTTTTTTTTACATAAGGCTATTAGTACTAGCGTGCTATTTTAAATATCCCATGAAAATGTAGAAGTTAATCAGATCTACTGACAAGTTCCTTTATAAGCATTGTCCTCCAGTGTCTGAGCCACTTACCGGTAGCTCAACTCACTAATTAGAAACTGGATCTTTTACTTTGCAATACATATTTGCCACCTGCTTGACCGAGCTTGGATGTGATGCATTTTGTGATCATTGAGTGTCCATTGGCCAAACAAATTTCGACTTGGTTTTTGGCTTGTCAGTAGAGGCTGGAGTTGGTTAAGATTCATGCTACTTAACTTGCCTGAAAAATGCTTCTGATTTTTTGCTAAAAGCTGCTTCTTCTACCTTCCTTGCTCTCTTTCTCTTGTGCTGTCTGGGTAAAGTTTTGGGGCTACAAGCAGCAGCCAGAGCCGGTAAAGCCCTCACATATATTGTCGTGCATGGGCGCTTTGTCACTGTTTGTGCTGAATATGTGCATTTGCTCTTGAGCTGTCTTTTTATTTTCATTTTGTTTAAATCAAGTCTTCTTTTTCTAAAAAAAAGAAAAAAACCCTAAAAGTGATGTGCATTTTACTGCAATGTCTTTTTAAAATAAATTGGGTTAATTAAGAAAAGGATGAATATGCAGCCCTGGATGCGTTAGAAAACCTTCTGTACTCCAGGCCATGCTCCCTGTAAGCGCTGGTTGTCAGGGGCTCCATTTGCATGTTTTATTCAGGAATGATATATACACAGAATTAGGCTGGAGTGTCATTTGAAGACTGAACACAGTAAGAAATGCCCCATGGAAGGCCTCATTAGTAGGAACCTAGGGTGTGCTGTGTTGAATTGCACTGCTTTTAAAGCGTGATTATAAAGTTTGGTATCCTGTCTCCTACTCGGTGTTTCAAAAGATGACAAATCCCCACCCATTCTCCCTTTTCAGTATCCATCAGCTAAATTGTGCAGTTCTGCCTACAGAAGTTAGGTAAGACTTCCTTGCTGATATGTGCAGTGTTTCAAGCATTGTTTGACATCCTTTAGTTGCTAATCCTGGCTAGTTATCTCTTTCTATGACAAGACATTGAAGTAAGCAAAGACAAGGTCCAGGTTAATAAGCTCCCACCTGCCCCTTTGAAAAGCCCATGCAATTTTTTAGGGATTTTTTTGCATTGAATTTTTTCCCCAAAAAAATTGTTTATAAAGAGGAGAAGTGGTGGCAGCCTAGGACACAAGTAACACTTCAGAAACGAATCATCAATATAGAAGATGTCACCCAAAAGGGAAAACCAATGTTGTTGGGGTGGGGAAAAAAACAGTATTTCAGAGTGAGGAAAGGTATGAGTTTATAGTTTCAAGCCATGCTGTCCTTTTAATATTATCCTTCTGCCAGACTCATGTTACGACTTCCTTGCTCTAAATCCCTGGATTTACATTGGTTTAAACATCCTCTCTAAAACATAGCAGCTTTATGCTTCTACCCTAGATTTAACTTTATTATTTTCCTGGAATGCTTGCATGCCTTAGCAAACACCTGAAGCCAGACATAAGTATAATCATCCTCTGACATAGGTTTGACTCCAGTATGTTGGTTGGAAGTGGAATTGGTTATTAAGATTATTAACAGTTGATGTTACCTGTGTCACAGGAAGGACTGTTTCCTTGTGAAAGCATGCCCATCTTTTCCT